TGATCATAAACCCAGAGAGACAATCAGCTCAGTATGTTGTGTGGGCTGTGATGTACCCTCTGTTTCCTGTGCAGGTGGAGCTGAGATCCAGCTGCTGAAGTCGTCTACATCCCAGAGCCAGAGACTCCACACCGGCATCTGTTACTGCCTTACAGCCGCTCACATCCAGGTCCCTGATACACACACATACAACAACTCAAAACCACAATAGAACTGTAAGGATATCAAGATCACACCAGTGGACACATAAGACTGAATGTCCTGAGTCCTGAATCATGGTTTAGTCTTCAAGATGTTTTTTTAGGGTAAAGGTTTTACAACACTTCAGTGATAGGACTCAGTTTCAAATATTGGAGCTCAAGTTACCTGATACAAGGTGTGTATTTGCTGATGTTGAGTAGTGTCAGGTCTGTGACTGCAGGACAGGAGCTGAGAGTCAGACTCTGAAGTTTTACACAGCTCTGAAGCAAAGACTCCACGGCAACATCAGAAACCTGTGAAGACAGAAAAAACAGATACAGAGAGCGAATGAAAGGTCGGATTCGAACCTGGACCGCCCGCTTGGAAAACTATAGCCAAGCGCCACCAGCTCCCCATCGGACCAGCTTCAAAGACAGATTCAGTGTTTTCAAATGTTCTGAGTCACAAAACGTGAAACTCACCGCCTGTAGTCCAGTCAGATTTAGTGAAATGAGACCGCTGAGCTGTGATGTCATCACTGTGAGACAGTCTGTGTTTACTCGAGGCACTTGACCGATGTTGAGGTGCTGGAGGCCGGCACACGTCTAAAACATGAAAACGGTGATGTACTGCACATGCAGTGGAAAACATGTCGTGTTGTTTGTTCAGCTTTTTATGAATGGAAGGATACGTTTATTGAGACAAAAAGACAGGAAGCAAGAAAGTCTTTTCCACATCCTTAAACCTTAAAGTCTTATCTCTTTACTGAACTGTACATGTGTGAGCAGTGGGGGTTGTTTAAAGAAAGAAAAATCTCACCCTGCAGTCTTTTAACGATTACAGTATCACTAGTTGATCATCCTTGCGGTGCCAAATATATATAAAAGGCTGTTCCTGAAGTGTGCTGTTTATCACCTCATGTGACGCCGTCTGCACAGCATATGTTTGGACATAAAAATAACCATTTGTAAATGGCTGATGCTGCATTTTTTAAAAGTGAATCTTTATGCTGATTGTCTCATTTGCTTCTTAAGCTCATAAAGAGACGTGAATATTAACGTCAGTCTGTGCCAAATCCAGCTAACAACTCCTCACAGGAGCTTTAAAGATGTGTAACATATGTTGTTCCTGCATTATGAAATCTAATGAATTGTGCAAGACACATTTTTTTAAATCACATACCTTAAAAACAGTTTGTAGACAGGACGGAGAGAGGAACTGACAGCCAAACACCTCCACTCTGCGAAGACTGAAAACAACACATAAACAAAAACATGGAACATCCACTTTGTTTCCAGGGATCTGAGCATTTAGTTCAGAATCACTAGTCGATTTAACAAATTATTTAAACCTCGCCCCACAATGCCTGTCAGGCTGCAGACGCCTGCTAGACGAGGCTGTAGCTTCAGTTAATGGGCCTGGTGGTCGTGCTCTACTACCAGGATGTAAACTAGCACACTGAACAGATAGCATCTTGTAGGAGCAGAGCTGATTGGCAGCGTTTTGATTTAGAAAATGGAAATAAACTGGCATATTGACTTGCACATTTATCAAGGGCATGTGGATGTTAACCTGCAGGGAAGACCGGAGGCTGCCTACGCTAGCGCTGCTTATGTTAGCCACACTCGGCAAACCAAATTACAATTTTTAATAACTTGTTTTGTTATTGATAGCTCAATGTTGACGGTTTTCTGAGTGTTCTTTTAATCTTTAGACTATTGGGTTAAACACAAATCAAGTGTGTTTAACCAACATGTAATTAGCTGGCTGGGAACATCTGGATAGATTTACAGATGCAAATAAAGAAATGTGATTGTTGAGTCAAATCCAGGAGGAAAACCAAGACAATAAAAAAGCCCAATGAAACACAACCACACAATCAAAACTCATCAGTGTATTACATTACAAGATGTTTCTAATATAGATGATATTATAGTTCCCTACTGCTTCATGTTTACACAAGCTATAGCAGCATTATATTTTCAGAGTACACAGATAAACTAAGATGTATTCAAACTGACCTTTCTTTGTGCCTCATGACGAGTTTGACGAGTGGGTCATCAGTGAGCTGACAGCCGTTCAGGACGACAGATTTTAGTCTCAGCCTGCAGAAAAAGTAAACGAGAGACTGTTCATGATGATGACATTTCCAGTTTTCATTCAGCCTCCTGTTGCATTTGTTTTTGTCCTGGTTGAGTGTTATTTTATTACTGAGTGTCTGAGTTTATCTGTAAAGAGTTTGAAGATATAACACAGACTTAATGTTTGTAACTCTGGATTTCAGGGTTAGGGTTATCTTTTGCTGACACTGATTGGAGACTGGCTGACTCACTGAAAGTGTTAGGGATGATCTTCTTTTGTGATCCAGCTACAACAAAAACTGAACTAATAATAGCCTGGGCTCGTTGCACCTCACAACACCGTCCAGAGTGAGCATGTAGGTGAGCTGACCCAGCTTTATGTTGTCCCTGTCTTGAGAACCAGTCCTTTCCGTCACTGTCCATTTCATGACTTTCTCTCACACTTGCTTTATGTTTTATTTATATATGTTGCAAATTAGGATGTCTCCTGGAAGCCTGCTTTTGGAGATTTTCTGGGCACGCCCAACTGGGAGGAGACCCCTCAGAATCCCACAGGAGGGGTTAAAAAATGTTGCTGGGGAGAGGGAAGTCTGGGTTGACTTACTGCAGCTGCTGCGTCTGCGACCTGAATGGCTAAGCGCAAGAAAATGGATGGATGGATGGATGGAGCCGGTTCTAGCTCGTAACAAAAGGAATAGCTTAAAGAACTTACACAGGTACTTTATAATGTAAAAAATGATCGTATCCACCTGGTGTTTTGGAACAAAAACAATGAACACAGTCTATTAAACAGCATCACTACCACTGAGAAGTTACTGAATTAAAAGAAAGATCAAATGAAATATACTGTATAAATATAAAAACTGACCCTGGACAGCAGTCACTCAGAGCTTTCACTCCTGCGTCTGTCGCTCCACTCCAGCTCACATCCACACTGGTCACATGATCACACAGCTGGCCAATCAGAGGCAGCATCCGGTCACCATGGAGACCAGGACCTGTGCAACTTGTGACCTGGAGTTCCTGTAGTTCACAGATGTAGATTTAGTAATTAACTGAGTATCTTTTTTTAAGGGTAATCATTAACTGATACAATAAGTCGTTTACCTTCCTGCGGTCAACAGCTGACAGACATTACATAACGCTGCAGGGGATAATGACACACCGAACTACCACTAACTCTTTTATACAGATCATAAATGTTACTACCTAAAAGACAACTAAATCATTACATCATGTTTAACAGTTAGTTACTACGGAAACCCTAAATGAATATCCAATATACCAACACTACAAGTTATTTCTAGTAGTTTTTCTCCATGAGATGAGATTTATTTCTTCATAATCTCATGATAAATAAGCTTCTTATCTCATGGTAACGGGATCATTTTCTGGTGATCTAGAAAACAAATCAATAGAGCCGTCACTAATAACTGGTAGACTTGATATAGAGGCAGAAACTTCATCATTGTTGGACTCTAAATTAATTCAGTGGACCCTTTCACACAGTGAAGAACCCAAATAAAGTTCTGGAGCAAACAAATCAACCAAGGCAAATCTCACAAGCTGCAAAAGCACAGCGTCTTCCTCAGAGTCGTTTAGTCCATTGAATGAATGTAACGTCTGAAGTCTTTCTCTGACCTCCATCTGTGGAGGGGTTAAAGCACAAGTTTCCTTCTACATATTTAGACTCTGTCGTTTCCTCTGTCATGTCAGATTTCTGCAACGTCCCTCTTATGTCATGTCCCGCCCCCTGAGACTCCCTTCCTCCTGTCCGCTGTGAGGGACGTGTGAATAGGCAACTCATGAAGATTTCAGGGGCAGACTGTCCTGTAATTCTGAAGATATTTTCAGCAGTGCACTCGTGGAAAGGGCTTTAGTGATGCTGTGCTGCTTTAGAGACACTCTTGTGATCTGTACTCTTTACTTGTTTTGTAATCACTGACAGCTGGCACATGGAATCAGGGTGTGGGCTCATCTCAAACACAGTGTCAATAGAAGCATAAAAAATCCAGGTCATTGGCAAATCAGAAGTATTTTTTCTTCTCAGAATAGACTCCGCGGTGGCTAATTGATTAGGATGATCAAACCCTGCAGCCTGGGGGGGCGTCTCTGTACGATCATGTGAAGGCAAACACCAACCAATACTGCTTTTATTCAACAAGAGGAATTCTGAGTCCCTGTTTTACCTCCAGAGAGTTTCTGCACAGAGTGAAGAACTTGGCCAGCCCCCAGGAGGAGAGTGAGGGTCCACTGCAGCTGTACAGACTCAGGCTGCGAGGGCGACGTCCGCCCACGCAGAGGAACCAACGCTGTGTCAGGGTGGAGTTTTCCACTCTCACGTCTCTCCCTTCACAAAGAGGTAGAGGTTAATTGTTCAGTATGTGAAGCTGCTGAGGTGAGTCAGTGACCTACAATGTGTGTGCAGGTAGAGAGCATGTGATGGTGCCGCTCGGGGGGTTATCTCACTGTGTGTTTGTCCAGGGAGTGGTCCAGTACACCGCATCACTGGAACCACTTACATCATGAGAATGCACCATGTGCTCCCAAACACACACACACACACACACACACACACACACACACACACACACATTTTGGAAATCCTACCTGGAAAAGCTCAGGACATTCCACTTATGTAATCAGCTGTGAATGTGAAGGAATGTAACTAAATACATTTACTCAACTGTACTGAACTAGAGTTAGAGGTACAGTATTTGAGTACCTTCCTCAAATTACTATTGCTTAAAAAAGGATTACGTGTCCTTTTTAAGCCGAATGAACCTTTAGGAAACAAACAGCCCACTGCACGACCAGGCCTGCTCGCCCTGCTGACCCAGACTGAGAAACAGGCTGTTTTTTCACAAGGGCCACAAGTCTTTCACATAAATAAACGTGATTATTTTGGGCAATGCCGACTCACAGAGGGTGTGATCTGCAGCCAGTGAGTGCAGACGTCTGCACACCTGCATCGCTCTGCACAGATCTGTGAGCGGCAGCAGAGACAGGACGGACAGCCACACCTCATCAGGCAGACACAGCCAGCGCTCACTGACGGCGACACCTGCTGGCTGACGAATGGAAAAACAACGACAACCATTGACTGATAGGACAACTCATTATTACAGTCAGACACAACAGATATCTGATTACTGTGATCCCTTTATATGTATTAATAATCATATCATGATCGCAGACATGAAGGTTTCTTACTCTGTACATGTTGTCAGTTTTCTCACACTGCCATGAACCTGTAAAGGAAAAACACACTTTTTACTACTGATTGTTTGATTCTTAGGACACTGGATCTTTGTAAGTTTACAGTAAACCCTTAATCCATAGTCTGGGCTTTTATTAACTTCAGTCTATGAAATTACCTTTATTTGGGACAAGTGTCAATATGAGACTTGAACTATTTTCAAACTAAAGTGGTTCGAGGTCAAAAGGCTCGACAAGATGAAGATCAACATAATTCACTTTATTAGAATGACGTGTTTCGGCCTGTGGCCTTCATCAGGGTCAGAAAGGAGATTTAACTGTGTGCAAAATTAGGATATCAAAAAAGAAATAAAAGTAAAAATCACAAATTTGATGGTACTTTGTGAGACACCCTGCTGCACTGTGTGTGAGAGAGAGGGAGAGACTCCTGTTCAAATAATCACCAACGATCGCTGTGCTGGCCTATTAAGTTTTCATGTGACATTTGTTCTCCTAATTTTCCAATGATTTT